AATTAGTCATAAATTGTTACCATCGCGTATGACTTTACTTTGTCCCTTGAAGATAACTAGAAAGAGACGTCATCAAAGTTCAAAAGATAATTAAAAAAAAGACGTCATTAAAATTTGAATTGCTTTTTAATAATAGATATTGTCATTGTGTCATGATAACGAAAATATAGATTTGTTTTTCATTATAAGTATTTTAATTAATGAAAAAATGTGCAAGTATAAAAAAAGAAAATATTATAAAGTTATTAGTGCAAAAAAAACTGTCAATAATATAGTAATTATGATACTATATTATGAATATTTATATTAGCAAAAAATAAATTGAATGAGATATTATTTAACTTAAATATAAATTGCTAAAATTTTTATTATTTGAGATTTATTTAACAGCAATAAATTGTGATAGATAAAAAAATATCTGATAAATTCTACATTTTTATTAAATAATTATTAAAAAATACTAATAACTAACGACTAGCAGTAATGACATGCAATCTGGAACATATGGTGTACAGTCAACAGATTTATTTTAGGATCGCGCACGATAACGTAGTTGTTTAATCACAGAAGGCCATGTGCAGATTTTTATACAATAATTAGAACTCATTTCTTCAAACCGTTACAGTATTTTTGCATACAGTATATTTTATTTTTCACCGGTATTCTAATTTTTAATTATTATATTTTTCAAAAAATTAGAAATTTGCCAATGTAATAAAGTTAAGAATGCATACGCATGACTTTAATGATACAGAAACCTTCTTTGAAAAGAGAAACAAAAAAGTTATGCATCTATGTGTTTCAAAAAGAGTAATTGTTCGAGAAAAAATGGTATAATATGGTCAGATGTAAATATATGTCGTGATACGAAGAAAAACATAAAAGAATAAAAGTAGATTTATTAATTACTGTGTAACATAATGGCAAATAAAACAGGATATGTTTTTTAACTCACTCGAGAAAAAATGGTATAATCTAATAACATATGTAATTTTATACGATCATATAAAATTCAGATCTTTTCATAACTAATTATATATATTTACATCTGACCAATTACACCATTTTTTCTCGGGTGAGTTAAAAAACATATCCTGTTTTATTTGCCATATTATTACAAAGTAATTAATAAATCTACTTTTATTCTTTTATGTTTTTTCTCGTATCACGACACTCATTAATTTACAATTGTACCGTTTGAAAATTGAGAATGTGATAACAGAAAACCGTGAGAGATCTATCCGTATAGAATTCTCGCGAAAGAGAGACGCATTTTCTATTTGTATTTCGTTAATTCTCATCTGCATCGCAGATATTGCTTTTGTAACATGGTTTGTAGAGTGGAAACACAATATGTGCAATGATCCCAGTTCAAATGTTGGAACGCTATATCAACACTCGTGTCTGCGCTGTAGAACGATATTCATGCGTTGCGATGACGCGGAAATGAAATTCACAGAGAATGTCAGTTGCATAGCAATTAAATCCGCTGGAATAACGATCTCTGTAATTTAATTGTAAATTATTTGACCGTAAATATTACATATCGAATCCTGACAAATCATTACTAATTTTAACGCGAAACAGAATATTTATAATTTATTTATAATTAATGTTCGTCGGGCAAGTTTGAATAAAAGTTTTCGAAAAAAGTAGAGTCTGTAGAAAAACTAAGAAATCAAAATTAAAATTATAATCAATGTTAAATTGCAAATATTTTTCATTAAAATTCGCTCCTCAGACAGCGATCTTTGATGCGTGCATTTCGCAGAGACAATTTTCGAGATGATTTCGCTGAACATGCAACATTTATTCGCAAACTTCGCAGCAACGCTACAATTTTAGACTGTACTAAAAATATCGTCGCCCTCGACTCGACGTTCTAAAGGTACAGGCAGATAATAGCGGACCGCCACAACCTGCTTCTTTATTTCACGTTAAAAGCTCGCGCACTTGCCAATTGCGATTTGCGTAAATTTCAATTATTTGTATTTAATAAATGTAATGGAGAGCGCAAAAAAATTTGTATCGGGCTTTATAGCATTGGCGGACAAATATACAAGTGCACCATTACACTTGAGCAAAGAATGTGAATGCGAACTTCAGTGTTCGCCCGACAAGAACGCGTATTGATGTGCAGCCTTCGTTGGAGATGAGATTCGCTGATATCATTTACGTCATTGTAAGCAAAACCAGATGACAGATTTACAAATACATTGCACGTGACTCTATCGTTAACGTCATACAAATACTCTCTTTTTCTCTCTTGTTTTCTTTTTTTTCGCTTCTTTCTTAGAATAAGATCAGATACGATGTATTTATCACTTAAATTTTACAAATAGATGTTTTGTCTCTTCAAAATGCCAAATACATCGAGAAAGAAAATAAAATTTAGCAGAGATTGAACACTTATAAAATGCAACAAATAAACGAAAGTAAAAATTATTTACAAAAGTCTAAGTAATGTTAATTAAATTTTATATAAATAAAAAGATTAGTGAGAAAATTTAATTTTTTATTTAATTTCAAGTAAGCTTTTTGCTTTACTGTCATTTTAATTTTTGTATCAATTAAATCGGTTAAACATTAAAAATTGTAACTCAATAACTTACGATAAAATTTTTAACGATAAAATTTTTATTAAAAAAGTAGTAAAACTGGTACTTTATAAAACCTGGACTTATCAACAACTCTATAAATAAAATACAAGTATAATCAAACCCGTGTAAAGGACGTATCTTCAAGAACACGACACACACAAAACACACTAAAGCAATGCAAATCATCACATAAGCTTTTAATTAACAAACCTTCCGTTTTAATTAAATTTTTTTTTAAACTTAAAATGTTCAAGCCACCATTGCCTTTAAAGACCTTAATCGAGAAACAGTGTATTGTCACAAGCACTTTCGATCTTTCGAAGCTCTGCGCAGAAAAGAGCGGGATACGCGAAGCGTACGCGATGCCGTGGTGACTAACTGCAATCCGTCTGCACGCGTTGTGCCAGCAACGACACGAGTGTGACGCTCCGAAAAAGCGCGCGTCTCAGACACGCACGCGCCGCGCGCACGCGTGTCTGCGTGCGAGACCCTCGCTTTATCTTCGCCAAAGTGTTCTCTTCAGCAGGAAGCGAACACTTGTGACGCCGTTATTGCCATTAAAATATTTCGCGGCTTGACAGTCGACTCCACGCGAACATTATATCGTAACAAGATCAACAAAGATACAATATAGATACAATACACAATACGCGTAGAGCTGAAGGTATTGTTGCACACATAAGAACAAAAGATGCCTGTGCTGTAGCGTACTGTAATATTGTACGATCTGAAAAAGAAATTAATAACGCTTGATAAACAATTGCAGGAGCATCTTTGCAAAAAGCTTTAATTACCATAAAAAATGTTTTAATATCAAACAAAGTATTTTATATGAATTTTTACGAAGACTAGTGTTTTTAAACGCATCATCATTTTATTTTGGATTTTTTCTCGGCAAAACAGCTAAAGAAATTTAAATTATCGCATTCTGAGCGTAACATTATACGCAGCACGCGTCAAATTGCATGCTTGCGTATGTACGTGCAAGTACAAGTGCACCAAAAATTGAAGATGTGTGTTGAATACCAATATGTGTATCATAATCGCACTCGAAAATCATATAATCATACACGTAAGTCGCGCTCACATTACTGGGATATCGCGTTATAATCAGCACACTGTACAAACCATGACCTACGATTATTAAATTCTGTAAACGATAGATCGTAATAAAATTTCGCGCGATCAGGACGACACGGCTTTGTCAGAATTCACAACTATTATTACTATTTCCGCAAAATCGCAATGTATCAAAGAATTTTACTCAAAATCATACGCGTTATATAACAATAGCATTCGTAGCGGAACAGAGACGTGTCACGTCAGCTCCAGCTCGACTGAGATCGTTTCGTCAGTTAACCAGCTCGGAATCCCTCGCACCGCGTTAGGACGCTCTCGCGTTGCATTCGCGGATGCATACCCGAGGACTCACCTTCACCGACATCTTGACCCGGCACACGATCGCGCAACCACTGCACTGTCACTTTAATTATTGATTCACCATTGAGGGCGGAATGCACACACTGACACGAGTCCGAAGCAGCGATTGAAGGTCGACGGATAGATGAGAAGAGGACGGATGGAAGGAAGAGCGGGATGAAAATATAGGTTTCACTGGGTGGTTCTGATTAACGCCGAAACTATGGCATTTTCCACCGTTTTCGCCAACGTGGCCGCTAAAACGTGTTGCAAACGGCTTTTGGCGGCCGCCTCTCTCATGGGGGATACTTTACCGTCCTTTACGCCTCCCTCTTTTCTATCTTCGCCCCGCAACCCTAGTTTATATTGATTTCTCACTTGTCTGGTTGCACCTGCCATCTCTTATCGTCATTTCGCGATAGGTACTGCCTTATCATAATACTGATACTGTTTCACCGCTCCAAATATTCAAAAATTGCACAAATTATAAATAGATATAAATAACTAAACCATCGTTTACGTTATTTGAATATTCGGCGTACATGCATACGTTTTTAAAAAAAAATTATTAAAAATGTAGAAAAATTAGTAAAAAATTTATTCTAAAAGTAAACTTTTAATTTCTAAATCTATGTTAATTTTATTATTTTAAAACTTACTATATTTAATTTTAATATATTAGTAATATGTTCACTGATATACTAGCTTATTATTAAAAAAAAGAAATTTATTTTAACATATCTTAAGTCTGAATAAATTATTTATTATTTTTAATTTTTAATCATTTTTTGTTGGATAATAAACAGATGCAAACATTAAATAAAAATACAAAAAGTGATTCAACAGTTTCAAAATTATTTTTTTATTTCAAGAATTAGAAAATTGTAATTTTATAAAGTAAATTTATGAAACAAATAATTTATTTTTTGCAAGGTTATTATTTTTTTTCAAATATCCTGTATAATATAATAATCAGAAATTAAAGTGTTTAGCATTGATTTCTAATTTAATAGAATTTGAGAAAAGCTCGAAAAAATTTTTAATCAGTCAATTTTTAATCTCAAAAGAAACAAAGAGAAAGCATTTTGTGATAAAATATTTTCAAGTAAAAGACACATTTTCTAAACAATAAATAATGGCAGAGTATAAAATAACGTATGTTAAATTAAATTTTAATAATAAGATTTTGTGAAAAATTAGAAGTAAATAAATTTTTAGCGCCAAACGTACATCTATTTTATGTATATTTTTTTAGTTTATGTGTTAAAAAAAAAGATATATTACTTTAGGATTCACATAAAAACTGCAGATTATTTTAGGTGTGTACGTGAATAAATATTTCGTGTCTTTATTTCGGACAGACATTTTTCCATGTTAGGTACAGTATGTTACAGTGTGTCATTGATTCCGTGTGAATACATGATTGCACATTACTATGAGAATCGTTCAGATTAGAGCTTATTAAAGCTATACGATATAACGCGCAGACTACGCACGCACACAAAATATAATGGCTTCTGACTAGAAACTCTTGTAAACTCGTGACGGTATACACACACATGCATACATATACACGTATATATAAATATGCGATATACCGTCAGTATATACATGGTATATGTATATGTATATACGATATATAATAATACAAGCTTACGATATAATCACCTGTTAAACAGTCCGTTTATTAATTAGGATCGGTTACAAAATATAATTGTGTATATATATATGTATATATATATATATATATATATCTCTCTTATTTTGCTTTACATTTTAAGGTAAGACCTCCTTGGCTGCGAAATCGTGTTTCGCTTATCCAATACTTGCTTATCTAATGGACTTGTCGCTATTGGCACGTATGCGTTCTTGGACCGCTATTACGTTCAAGAGCCTAAATTGGAGTTATTAGCGCATTCGACGTAGAATGCAACCTTAAATTTTGCAACCTTAAATTAAAGATTGCCTGTATGCACCGTATCAAAAAATAATCAAACAATTGTAGCCCACTTAAATCGATAATGCAATTTATATGATATAATAATTATACTATAATTTGACGATTGCAAATAACGTTCTCACGATATCGATAAAAGTATAGCAAATTAAATATCACTTGTGTCACAGCGTAAGGACAGTCTTTATTTCTTGCACGATATACGAGAACGTAGCAGTGAAAAATATTAAATATTTGTAATTATACAGAAAGAAATTAATGCGTCATATGTGCATAATTAAGTCTAATTAAATAATGGATTGTTTCCATTGTATATGTTTTATTTTTTTCATGCTTTCTAATGTTCAAATAATTCTTGTTTAGTCAGTTTTAGTTTGTTACGTGACGTGTCGCGTATTTTTACATAGCAATAGTTCCGCTTTAATTGTAAATAAATTAGAACGTTGTTGTGTAACTATATTTTAACATTAGGTACGTGCGTAACGTGTGATAATTAAATTTAAGTATTATTTAATATCGAGATATTACGTGCACATATAATAGAGGCTTACTATAGTTCTATCTATAAAGGACTGGCTTGAGAGAAATACTGCTCGAAGAGTGAGACCATTTTGGCATTGTCAAGTTTGATATCAATATATTATTGTTAGAAAATACGTCAAAATTTATATATAATAATGTTTAAAATGAATCTTATATTATTGGAGGAAATCTTATCATTCATAGACTTGATTCACACAAGTAGTTTCCACTCGAAGAATATAGAATAATGAAACATAATGATTGATATAGTTTTTGTGCGTAAGTGGACTAAATTGGGCCGCTGATTGTGGAAATACGCGTTTCTAAAACATTTTCACCGGTCCGAAATCTTAGATTACGTTAAAAATATAATACGGAAATAAAAGTTAGATCAGTGGTTATATAATACAACGTTTCAAAAAGATCTTTCCATGGCAGTATGTGTCGTAGATATCAGAAATAAAATGCTTTATCGGCATATGTAAATAGAATTATCACCTATCACACTTAGATAATATTTAGTATCAATAGGTAATCAAAATAGTTTAGCTTCGAAATTGCAATACTGTTTGCGAAAAATATTGCGGAAGTGCAATTTAACTCTAAACGTTTAGTATCAGATTCACTAAGATTCTTGCGTGAGATAAAAATCAATGACAAATACATTTCACGAGATTAATCTTAATAAAAAAGTTACGCAAAACAAAAATATAAAACTGATAAATGCGAAATAATGAAATATATATTAAACACATATTAAAGAAAATAGCGTTATATTATTAAGAATAAATGATAAAATTATTATTTATCACAATATTATTACGATATTCAAAACAATTTGACCATCATTTTGCAAAAATATCTTACTAATTTGCCTCAATAACAAACGACATTGAAACTTGTATTGGTGTATGCGCGATTAACAGAGATATACAAAAATAATCATCACTTATAATAATGCAATGATAAGAATTTCATTTTACGCTCAGTCTAGCGATTTCGATCTGTCTAATTTGTGTTTACTTTCAAGATCAAAGTTTGTACTTCGATTCATTGCATAAGAACCACGCACCTCTTCGATATTTCTCCTTGGAGGTGATTGCGCATTTTCAAAAATAAAAGGTTCTAATATCACATTATTGGATGGATTTGATTGAGAAGAACTCGCTTCGACATCCGCCATTCGTGCCAGAGAGCTAGTGTTAGGAGGTGTGCTTTCGGAAGCTGTCTGAGCGATATTAAAAGCATTTTGCGGGATGCTCGACGACTTCTTGGGAGAAACTCTTTGGAAGCTGTTGCCTTGACAAGTGACACCTCTGGTGTGTCTACGCGGTAAACGCAAGGAACCGCCGTAATTCGTACGTTCCCTCGGGAAATTTCTTTGTGTTGCAGAAACCAAGGGGAACGTGCGCTCGTTTTCGCTTCCACTATCTTCTGATTTAAGCGAGGTAGTGTGCGTCTCTGCCATTGTCACGCATCTTGGCTGAGATGCTCGATTTTTATCCTGTAAACTGATCTTACCATGCACTTTCAATAAAGATTGATCATTCGCATGCCACGTACTGTGTTCTCTATAGCTGCTTGTCGCAGCATTGATATTGAGCATTGCGTGTTCTTCCACATTCTGGACTTCATAGCCGTGAGTTGCATTCTCCGTATCCGAGGCGTCAGGCGATCTGTCCATTAGATATCCCGGTAACCGCTGTGAGCTGCTCTGATAACCGCGAGTAAAATTGCTACTTCCGGAAGCAATTGATTTTTCTGGACACTCCAAAGGAACGCACATGTTTTGGCTTATCGCGCCGTTTGCGGCACAATATTGCGAGAAATGCGCGATTGGAACACTGTCAAACTGATGGGAATTTGCGTTATCACTTTGACATTGATTCGTGTTGCCGTTTACCAATCTCGCCGGCGAATTGCAAGGGTAGTAAAAACACTGTGGCACACTTGGATTCGGTATCACGTTCGCTGATTGTAGATTCAATCGCGCGGTAGAGGACGATTCTGGTGACGCCGGATTAGAGATCTTGCCACGTGTCTGTGCTATTACTGTCTCGTAACTAGGCGGAGGACCATATAATTGGTAGTAAGGACAATTGGCATCATTCCATACGACGTTCATATTCTGATAGTGCGTCGATGTGCTTGCGTTACCATTATTCCACGGTGCAGCTGCGTTTCTTTGAGGACCTGTCATGAACATTTAGGTATATAAATTAAAATAAATATTTCCACAAAATTCCATTTGCTTTAAAGTGGGATTAGGTCAGGAGATAATACGAGCCTTTCCACATACGATGCAATAGGACGGTATTTCTCGCCGAATTGTATGTAATGCGAGCTTGCTGCGCTTGGCAAGATGCATTACGAAGAGAATTTTGAGATCTAGTATTAGACGGTCGGGTTGGAATAGCCGAAGCGGCTGCTCTGTATCTGCCCTGCAACCAATATCGGTACCACCAACCACCACCAGAACACACCAGGAACATTATTATAACCAGAATCCTGAAAAAAATTGATTACAAAATATCTTCATATAAATATTAATATTTATAAAAAATGCAAATTGTACAATGTATATATTGCTGTAATTATTATCAAAACCAAAAAAAATTATTAAAAGTTTTACTTACCAATAGTACCATAAATGATGGAAATGGAGTCCAGGTGACACACAACATCCAAAAGCACAACAATATTCTGTTTTTGGACATCTGCAAATTTATAATTATAAAGTGTAAAGTTTCTAAAATATCATAAATAATTTTTAATATTTATTATTTATTACATAGACAATAAATATGTAGTTCAATAAAATCAACCCCAATGTGTAAATTTTAGGAAAAATAACTTACTCATAGTATTTTATTTCTCCAGGCATTTCAGAGGCACAGTACTTTGCTTCTGCCTAAAAAAATGCATTAACAAAGTTTCGTAAAAAAAAAAGTAGTATTTGATGCAATGTAATATACTGATATTAGTTTAATAACTAATAATTTAATTTAAAATAATAATTTTATTGTAAAATCCTATAATGAGCTCTTTACACTCAATATGCTATAATGTTTGACTCTGTGTAACATTGTTTGACTCTGTGTAAAAATAATAAAATATAATGGCTATTATAATTAAAGCTATTACAAATTATTTAAACAAATCGTTCCTACAGAATATATATTCTAATAATTTCTAAACGTATATGTAACCTTTGTAACTTTTTAAATATTGTAATATATAATTTTATAAACATAAAAAATTAACAAAAATAAGATATTATCTATTCATGAAGGACGAGACACCACTTACGTAAATGAGACACTTGGATGTACCCGCGAATATCGCGAGTTTCTTTTTGCTGTTGCGAGTCATTTTGCTAACGAATATCTATTTCGTCGGTTCCGCAATCAAGCACAATGAAGTCTAAAACGATGTTTTGTCATAATCGCCATTTCCCACCGACCGTCATGTACACACAACATTGCACATCGCTTATTGATTTCAATTTCGGAATTTAACAATGACGTCAACTCACTACCAATGCTACCACCATGATAAAAGTGTATGATGATAGTGATAGTGGCACCACAGGGCATCGATTATGTAAGTTTTCCCTAGGAGCGGAAATATGGGGTGTTTACGATAATTCAAGTTCGAGTTAGTTTCACTAGGACTGAAAAATGAGATAGACATAACCATCTAGAACCTTTATGATTTATGACAACTCGACGCTGTCTTGTACTGCTTGAGTTAAATTCATTGAATTTGTTGAATTTATTGAGCAAATTTTATTGTAATAGAAAAATGTCATTTATTATTATTATTATTAATTATATTATTATTATATTATTATATTATATTTATATTATTATTATCTTATATTATTATATTATATTATATGTTATTATATTATATTATATTATTATTATATTAATTATATTGGCTGCGTTCCGTAAAATGCATATGCGCGCAAGTATCTATAGTAAACGTAACGTATACTAAGAATACATGCGCACATATGCGCTTTACGGAACGCAGCCATTATAATTAATTTATTAAAGAGATACACCAACATACATACCAAAATTATTTGTTTCTTTCATAGACTGATTTGTAGTTGACATTTTTCTATTACAATAAAATTTGTTCAATAAATTCAACAAATTCAATGAATTTAACTCAAGCAATACAAGACCAAGATCTATAGAGAGAAGGTTACCTCATGCGCAAAGAGGGACGAGCGGCAAGAAGAGCAAATGCAGAGAGGGACGAGCGGCAAGAAGGGCAAATGCAGAGAGGGGCGAGCGGCAAGAGGGGCAATGATGATCTCATCGGCAAACAGAAGTTATCTCAGACAGCTACTGTTTGTCGATGAGATCATCCAGTGTTGCTAGACGGGACGCTTTTTCTCGCGCATGCGCAGCGCTGCAGCTATGAATCCAGCGGTGTATACGGCTTATAGTGTTGGGTGCTGGCGCGAAAAGTTAGACGTTTGACAGGCTACAGGAGAAAGTTAGGTGAGTACATGTAAAAAATAATAATATTTATATCATATATATATTTTTATGTATTTTTTGTTACGCGAAATATGGATAGTTCAAAAGGAGCCATTAAAAAGACGCATATTAAAAATTTTCAAAATTCTTGGTTAGCTGACGATTTATTTAAAGGATGGCTGGCTTCTCATCCTACGGAAAATAAGGCAATTTGTAACTTGTGCAATATTACCATTAGATGCTGTAAATCAGATTTAATACGACATTCACAAAGGGCTAAACATATTAAAAATTGTGACAGTAATTCTCAAATAAGTCAAAGCCAAAGCCAACATTCCAAAAATTCTCATATTGAAAACGTTAAACGAGCCAAAATTAAATTAGCAGCTTTTTATTCTGAACATAACGTTGCTCTTTATACCGCAGATCACTTAGTTCCTTTGTTAAAAGACATTTGTATAGATTCTTCAATCGTGCAAGATCTTTCACTGGCTCGATCAAAAGTGCACCAATATTATTAAAGAAGTTCTTGCAAAGCGGGAAAATAATTCTGCCAAATAAAATATTTTATTGTTATTAAAATGTTATTAACAATTATTTAAACATCCTTTCCTTTTTTAGCTTATTTTTTATTAATATTATTAATTATTTTATTATTATAAAATAAACATAATATTTACATGCGTTTAATTTATTATTATTTTATTACTTTTTATCACTTTTTAACGATAAACAAAATTTTCTAATAATTTTTTAATAGAAGGGTCTACAAGTGCCCTTTTTTTCCTCAATTAGTACACCGTTGAGGCCGATTCTCAAGTGCGTTCGTGAAAAAAAGCGTCCCGTCTAGCAACACTGCCGCTATCCAGTGTTGCGATATAGGACCGGTTGTATGCGCATGTGCGGCTCTGCGCATGTGCGGTGATGGAGAT